AACTGAAGTCTAACAGGAAAAAAGTACTGATAAGATCCACTGCTATGCCTAAGGGACTCATCCCTCTCAACTTCTTCCCCACCAGGGCAGAGGTTAGAAGGTCTTCTGCTTTCATACTAATGGTAGGAGAACTTGACATGTGCCTAGCCTCGTGTCTAGGCTTCTGAGCTCACAAGCAAATGTCAAGAAGTAGATAGGCCAGGCACAGTGGCTCATGCCTGTAATCCCAGCACTTTGGGAGGCCAAGGCAGTAGGATTACCTAAGGTCAGGAGTTCAAGACCAGCCTGTCCAACATGGCAAAACTCCATCTCTACCAAAAATACAAAAAAATTAGGCAGGTGTGGTGGCACATGCCTGTAATCTTAGCTACTTGTGAGGCTGAGGCACGAGAATCGCTTGAACCCAGGAGATAGAGGCTGCAATGAGCTGAGACTGCACCACTGCACTCCAGCCTGGGTGACAGGGTGAGACTCCATTATAAATTTTAAAAAAGTAGACAAATAATAGCTAACCTACCTATCCCTAGCAACAACTTCATTTTCAGCTTAACCCCTGGGGCTCTGTTTCTGAAAAAGACCCTAGGCCATCTAATCTGGACTCAGTCATTTAGCCATTATGACAACAAAAATTGAAGTCACTCTCAGGACCCCACAGGGTGGATCAGGATCAAACCAGACTCCTCAACCAGCACTCATCTGCACTTCTAGGTCTAGATGGAAAGCTAGTTATTCTGTTTGAACAAAATGCATTCAGCTTAATGTGAAACTACCATATAGACTGCCTAGTGAGATGTGCTCAGACAATAACAACAGCTGGCTATTCTACCTCACGTGATTGCAAATGAAAATGTCCATGCCCCAACTGCCTCATCTGAACCACTTTTCTCCCCTCTTCAGGCAAGAAAGGAGCCCAGAGGCTACTGCTACTAGCTCTGCCCTTGGTGCTGAATCATAGTCATTCTCCTCTATTCTAATCTCAGGCTCAGAATCAGTAATCCAATACATACAGATGAGTCCTTGTCCTACTATACATTACAGAGGCCATGAATTAGAGGCAGAACTAGAACTAGAACTAGAATTTCTGCAAGGGCAGGGAGAGGTGCTCAGAGAAATGTCTAAACTATGTTCTAAAATTAGGAAAGGCTTTCATGGTCTTAATTATAATTTATTTCCTGTTAAGTCTATACACTTCTCTAAATAAAACGTTTTACCCCACTGCAGGGCTATTTCTAGCATGGCTATTTCTTCTACAAGCAGAAGTTCATTTCTCATATTCCTAGTGTTCCAGGATTCTACCTCTGTGCTCTGCATGTGGCCTTACTAAGGCCCTGTTCATTGCACACAGAGAGACTCCCATCACAGTATACACACACACACACACACACACACACACACACACCCTACTCCATCACCTGCTGCTGCAGGCACTCCCATATATACAGACATACACATTCCCTGGATGCTTAAGGCCCTACCCTGGTTCAGGTAATGAGTAGTTCTTTCTTCTCCCCTACCTAATGATAAACAGGACTTATTTGCCATACCTCTCAAATCCTCAAAATACTGCTTCCTCTTTTCCCTAGCTCCCAATAGAGGACCTGCAGGTAATAGGATTCAGTCTTATCTCCATAGCGACTCTGGCTCCCAGCTCTATTTATAGCAGAGCCACAGCCCCTCCCCTGCTTGGTGACCGCACAGTGCTAGCAGCTGCTACTCCAGAGTCGGCCAAGGCCCACAGCAATTTATTCTCCTTGAACCTAGAGACACCTCTCCCATTGACGGTGCCTGCTAAGAATTAGGTTATCTTCTTCCTCAACTGTCAGTAGTTCCTACTTTGCCCTAATTCTGGCTTTTGATAGTGATATCTCTACACCACCAGGTTTCCGAGCACACCATATATTCATTTCTAGGCATCACCACTGCTTCAGGAACCCAAACAGTCCCTTAGTTCTCCCAACTGCAACAGAGTTGTGAGCAAACTGCAGGAGGTGGGGCACCATAACAGAGCTGCGCTCAGCTCCTCCTGAGCAGAGTGAAAGGGGGAGAAAAACAGAGAAATGAAATAGGCTATAAGTAAAAAGCATAATTTGTTCTAATAAAGAATTATGTAGTTAATCTGTCACAGGATTAAAAAAAAGAATTATGTAGAGATGACTAGAGTAAAAGCCAAAGTATCTTAAAGTAAAACAGAATTTACAGAAGACTACCTCCAGGCTAAACCTTGCAATCTGGGTTTACATTGAAAACCAGGAGCCCTCTCCAGGCAAAATCTCAAACATCAGGCCTGAAGCACCTCCTACTAAGAGAGCAGGTGTCAGGCCTCTCTAGCCTTGGTGAGATCTCAGCCCCTCTCCATTAAGAACTATCTGATGAAACTAATGTCTTTCACAGTCCTCATCACCTTCCAGAGCCACAAGGACCCTGAGATCTTACTATTCTAGTTACGGGTGGTAGGAAAGATTTTGAGCCAGAATTCATATCTGATCAGCAGCTACTGCGTTCAGATTCAGATTGCAAAGATAACCAAGATTTCTTCTCATTCTCTCCTCTCTCCCCTCCCCACAAAGACTAACACCTCTGACTCCTCTAACATCACCCACAACTCACACTGTGTCTTCACAACCAACGAGGCTCAGACTGCTTCTTGCCTCAACCATATTTACTAACGTATAGCCTCTAGCTCCTATCTTCATGCATTCCAAAAGCATCAAGCTCAAAATGCATACCTATCTGCTGAAGTCCGACATCACCCTCCGCTCCACCCAGAGGTAGATTTAGGATTCACCAACTTTTAGGTTATCTATGCCTTTTCAGCCAAAATGGCCATGCTAACCAACCCTTCCCTCGTTTTGGACAGGATCTCATAGTAAAACCACAGGAACCAGAGAACGATATGACATCTCTGCTGACGTGAGCAAAACAGCAGGCTCTCCTCCCCTCTTCTCCCTCCCCAGGCATTGACCTTGCAAGCTCATCAGCACAGACTGGTCCAGCGTGCGGGAGAACTGGAGCAAAGAGGCTGGCACTTGGCAGGGTTGGGGAAAAGGGGAGGGCAGGGAAAGGTGGAAGAAGGTAGATGATACACCAGGATAGGGAGGAGAGCGACTGCAAAAAGATGAAATGGTGTTTTCACTCCCCAGGAAGTCAATTTTGAAACAACAAATTTAAAAGGAAAAACAATTTTTTTTTTTTTTTTTAGAATCGAACGTGGTTCTTCAAATTCTAGCCAAAAATAAGGCTCACGCGAGCACACGCACACGCGTACCCGACAAGTGCTGTGTGAGCTCGGGCCCCGGGGCTAGCCAGCTCTGCCCGCCCCCTCACCTGCTGGACAGTTCTCCCCCGCCCTCGCCCCAACCCGAACCCGAACCCAAACCCGAACCCGCGCCCGCACCCGCACCGCCCAGCAGGAACCGAGCACCGCAGCCCGAGCCCCTTCTGCGGCCCGGGCGCCCCCAGTCCCGGCCCCGCCCCCTCCTCTGCGGACCCGCGTCCCACGCCCTTTCACACTCCCCCAGAGCATCCTCAGAGACCCCCTTCCTTCAACAGCCGCGGTGTCCTCTCAGAGCCCATCTCCCGCGCCGAGTCCCCAGACGCTCGCCCAGGACCCCCACCGGCCCGGACTCTCCTACCTCCCGAGCTCCGAGGGACTGGCCAGGCCCGGCCCGATGTCCCCCGCGCGGCGCCGCTCCGAGCGGGCGCCAGTTCCGTGTCTGCACCTGGGGGCGCGCACCACACGCGCGGGGTGCGGGCGTGGGGGGAGCCGGGGCAGGACCGTACCATTCAGCCCGGGGGGTCGGGGCGGTGCGGAGCGGAGCGCAGCGCCGCGGGGCGGGACCGACCTCGGGAGACAGCGGCTGCGCACACACCTAGCCGGGCGCCCATGGGCGCGGGAGGGCGCGCCGGGCCGGCCCAGCACCGACGCGTGCCAAGGGGAGGACACACAGCAGTACCTTCTGTTTGGGTTGCTCAGGGAGACTTTCGTCTTACGGGGTCATAGCGCCCGTTTCGACAAATTGTGGATTCCTCTGAAAGTGACTTCGCAAGATAATCGACTCCTGAGACTTCCTGAGAACCTCCCCATCCTCCAGCTCCCCCCCTCACGCGTTTTGGCGGTGCCCGGCGCCCGGGCTGGGTAGCCGGCTGTCGCGCGGCGGAGCCTACCAATCCTGGGCGACGGGGGCGCAGCGGGGCGCGCGGCCGCGGTTACCTCCACCGCGCGCGCGCAAGGAGGGGGCGTGGCAGCGCCGCGGCGCCCCCTGGGAGATGGAGTCTAGTTCCTTCCCGAGGCCAGCCAGCCGCAGGACAGCCTCCTCGCGGCCGCACGGCTCTTCTCCTCATGATACGGGGTCTGGGGGCCGAAACTGGGCACTGTGTCTTTCAGGTTGTGTCTTTTTCATATGCCAAAGGAAAAACTAAGGCATGCTACACACTCACGTGAGGTGCACCCCGAGGTCTTAGCTCTGAAATACAACACTTCCTACTTTCCCGCAGAAACGCAACCGGATCCCACCTGGATCCCAACAGGGGAAGGGCGTGCCTAAGCCTCTGCATCCCATTTACCCATTTGGCGCAGTGGGGGTTAGTAAGAAGAGGCCCTCTCTCACGGCCAGGGCTGTCACTTAGGAGTCTCCTTCCTCTGGCTTGGAGGTGGTTCCTAAAGATCATAGGCTTCCTCCTCTACTACCGTGTCCCCACCCCCAATCCAGAAATTGGCTTCTCTCATTTTGTATTCATTTTGATCTTCCTGTTCAAACAGTACCAGGCCTATCAGTGAGGCGGCCCTGAGGCATTTATGGCCATATCACAGAGTGACGGTGGAGAATTTTTCTTGGGGCCTTGTGGGGAAAACAGGAAGTGGTGGAGGCAGGATGGGCAGGGCCCTGGAGAACCTTGTGCAAAGTGGCCCCCAGGCCCATCCGTTTGTGGGGTCAATGTGGTCTTCAGACACAGCAAAGCGTTAGTGGGCACCTCAGTACTCAGCAGCCACAAAACTCCAAACCCTCTGACTCTTTTTTAATCTCCTTGCCCAGCTCCCAGGAATGTTTGCCCTTCTCAGTCGGTTTCATTTCTAGGAGACAGCCACTGAGCCTCAGCCATCCGGCCCAGAAAACAGAAGACTATGGGGAAAGAACAGTCATTCGTGCACATCCCAGATCTCAGAGAGCAGCGGTGGGAGCTTCTTGTCCTGCAGGCGCAGTGCAAACACTTGCTCTGAGTGGACGCTGCTCAGGGTCCGGAGGCTCACCAGTTTCATCAGCATCCGTGGGAACATCAGTCGGTCCTGGGGAAAGAAGACAGATTCAAGCACAGCTTTTGCCTGTCCCCAGGGAAGTGAGGCAAAGGTGGGGGAATCGTGGGAGAGGTGAATTGTCTGCACATCATGTGGTCAGAGTAGTTCTTGAAGGGAAAGCGGGTATGCCAGGGAACGGGCTTGTACGTGGAAAGGAGGAAAAAGGGCACCAAAGGGAGACTCACATGGGGATGGTGGATGGAGACGTATGCATGCAGGGCTTCCACATATGTGTGCTGCAGCCTCTCTACCTGGAGCTGGTCCTGTACGTTGGGCCGGTCTATGGGTCACCAAGAGAGTTGAGGAGCAGGTCTGGCCAGGGTCCAGATCCATACCCCAAATTGCAACCAAAAAATAGAGATGTGCTCCAGCCAACCTCTCCCATCCCAAAATAACACAGCAAATGCCTCCACCCTCCCAACCCACCCTTGATTCCTGTGGTCCTGCAGCCCTCCTTGGTGCAAGTCTCTTGCAGTTTCCCATTGCCCCTCCTCCACACCTGCAGAGAAGATGCTGATGGCAATGAGCAAAGCAAACTCGGCATCATTGAGTTGCAGCTCATTCATGGCCCTGGAGAACTCGAAGATGGGGTTGATGAATTCCACTTGCAGCCCTGGGGAGGAAGAAGGGAGGCTGATGCCTGTGACAGGAGCAGCAGAAACTTCCTTCTCTCCTCTAAGGCCTTGCCTTAGGGAACTACTAGGAACTCAGTAAGAAGTCTACAGAGGGCCAGGCATGGTGGCTCAAGCCTGTAATCCCAGCACTTTGGGAAACCAAGGTGGGTGGATCACCTGAGGTTAGGAGTTCCAGACCAACCTGGCCAACATGGCAAAACCTCATATCTACTAAAAATACAAAAACTAGCCAGGCGTGGTCACAGGTGCCTGTAATCTCAGCTACTCGGGAGGCTGAGGCAGGAGAATCACTTGAACCTGGGAGGCGGAGGTTGCAGTGAGCCAAGATCACTCCACTGCACTCCAGCCTGGGTGACAGACCAAGATTCCGTATTAAAAAAAAAAAAAGGCCCGGAACGGTGGCTCATGGCTATAATCCCAGCACAAGGTGGTCGGATTACCTGAGCTCAGTAGTTTGAGACCAGCCTGGGCAACACAGTGAAACCCCGTCTCTACTAAAAATACAAAAATTAGCTGGGCACCTGTGGTCCCAGCTACTTGCGAGGCTGAGGCAGGAGAATTGTTTGAATCTGGGAGGTGGAGGTTGCAGTGAGCTGAGATTGTGCTACTGCACTCCAGCCTGGGTGACAGAGCAAGACTCCAGCTCCAAAATGGAAAAAAAAAAAAAGATTCCGTTTTCAGCAGGGCACAGTGACTCACACCTGTAGTCCTAGCTACTCAAAGCTGAGTCAGGAGGATCACTTGAGCCCGGAAGGTCAAGGCTGCATCGAGCCGTGATCACCACTGTATTCAGCCTGGGCGACAGAGTAAAACCTTGCTTCAAAGAACAAAAAAACAAAACAAAACTATTTTTAACTGGCATTACTTATTTGAATACCAGAGACACATTTCATATATCACATCCTAGAGGGAATACTGCAGCGTGGGTGAGACTCTGGTGCCAGACTGTGTGGGGTTGAGTCGTGGCTCTGCCACTTACGAAGAAGTTATTTAACCTCTCTGGGCTTTGGTTTTCCCATCTGTAAAATGGGAATAATAATAGTACCTATTGGGGTCCAAAATGGCTCCCACCGGAGGTCGTGGTGTTTGCGAAGGCGAGATCATGAGTTCAAGGCTAACCTGAGCAACCTTATAAGCTCAAACTGATTGGCAAAAAAAAAAAATAATAATAATAGTACCTATCATAAATATGTGGCATATATGGTAACCACTACATAAGTGTTTGTAAAACTAATAATAATTCATGTTTTTTGAGACAGAGTCTCGCTCTGTCACTAGGCTGGAGTGCACTGGTGCGATATCGGCTCACTGCAACTTCTGCCTCCCAGGTTCAAGTGATTCTCCTTCCTCAGCCTCCCGAGTAGCTGGAATTACAAGCATGTGCCATCACACCCAGATAATTTTTGTATTTTTAATAGAGACCAGGTATCACCATGTTGGCCAGGATGGTCTCAATCTCTTGACCTCGTGATCTACCCTCCTTGACCTCCCAAAGTGCTGGGATTACAGCTGTGAGCCACCGTGCCCAGCCAATAATGATTCTTTAATGGAAATAGTCTTCCTGCTGAGAAGACTAAAATGCAACAAACCGTGATCTAAAGTGATGACACCTAGAGAATACTTTCTCATACACATTGTCAGATTCTCTGCACCCTACACTGTTCCCCAGGCTTTGTCAGATTTCCTTTAGCCACCGTCTGCTACATTTTTCCATTCAAGACTTCTTGGTTAGTCATTTCCTGTACTTTCACCCTGATGCTTATCAAGTGTATGTTAGTCCATTTAATGGGCAGGCCCCATTTTCTTTTGTTTTTTATTTTTTTTTTGAGACAGAGTTTTGCTCTGCCACCCAGGCTGGAGTGCAGTGGCTCGATCTCTGCTCACTGCAACCTCGGCCTCCTGGGTTCAAGCGATTCTCCTGCCTCAGCCTCCCACGTAGCTGAGACCACAAGCGTGTGCCACCACACCCAGCTAATTTTTCTATTTTTAGAAGAGAAAGGGTTTTACAAAGTTGGCCAGTCTGGTCTTTAACTGCTGACCTCAAATGATCTGCCCACCTCAGCCTCCCAAAGTGCTGGGATTACAGGTGTGAGCTATTGCACCGCACCTGGCAGCAAGCCCCATATTCTTTTTTTTTAAGACAGAGTCTCAGGCTGGAGTCTTGGCTCAGGCTGGAGTCTTGGCTCACTGCAACCTTCACCTCCCAGGTTCAAGGGATTCTCCTGCCTCAGCTTCCCAAGTAGCTGGAATTGCAGGCATGTGCCACCACACTCGGCTAATATTTGTATTTTAGTAGAGATGGGATTTCACCATGTTGGCCAGGCTGGTCTTGAACTCCTGACCTCATGTTCTGCCCATCTCAGTCTCCCAAAGTGCTGGGATTACAGGCATGAGTCACCGCGTCTGGCTTGCAAGCCCCATTTTTTAAAGCATTTATTGGTGAGGATTTGAGCCCCAAAGTGTGGCAAAATGCCCCGTTTATACAGAAATAAAGAAAATATTCTATAATTGGCTAATGCATCTGTAAGGGTCTGCTGATGCTCGTAGAATGGACACCTCAAATGTGCTCAGCCCATGTCACCAGTCATCTACCGTATGCAGTAATAGTAGTGGATAGAGAGGGGAGGAGGCCTGACAAACACAGCTCCTGTTCCCTTCTCCCGAAAACCTCACTTGTGAAATGAAAAATGAAAGGCAAACATGACATCAAAACTGCTTATACCAATAAATCTATAAATAGGTACAGATTCCGATAGCACAAGTCTACGAGTACCAAAGGAAAACAGAGATATTAGAATGGGCAGAATTCCAAAAGGAGGATATTCTGAAGGAGAGGACAGCCACAGTTAAGAAGATCTAAGATAGGGCCAGGTACAGTGGCTCATGCCTGTAATCCCAGCACTTTGGGAGGCCAAGGCAGGTGGATCACGAGGTCAGGAGATTGAGACCATCCTGGCCAACATGGTGAAACCCCTTCTCTACTAAAAATACAAAAATTAGCTGGGCGTGGTAGCAAGTGCCTATAATCCCAGCTACTCGGAAGGCTGAAGACAGAATTGCTTGAACTAGAGAGGCAGAGGTTGTGGTGAGCCGAGATCGCACCACTGCACTCCAGCCTGGCAACTAAGCGAAATTCTGTCCCCCCCCCACAAAAAAAAGCTGGGCTTTAAACCTGGATAGAGTCATTAAATTACCCCATTAGCTGCCAATACATGCAGGCAGCACGCTGGGCAGTACAGAAGGCAAGAGGTGCCAACATAGCCCTGTCAAGCCCTGGCCCTGTCGTGCCCTACAGCGAAGGGAGCTCACTGGGTGGGCCTGTGCTGGGAGAGGGAGATATAAGAAGCACATGAGCTGGCCTGAGTCATCAGAAACCAGGGAAGGCTTGATGACTGGCCCCGCCACAGACATACCAGTCCTAAGAATGGAGTCATGGCATCAGCCATATTTTATAGCCCCACTTATCCAGTTGTTAAGCTACTTGGTTTCCTGCTGAAGCTCAATTCCAGTCCCTCCAAAACTCCCTCAGCCTCCCATCCTTTCCCAGGCCAGTTCTGATCACACAAACATTGCCAATAGTTGAATATGAAGAAACCCCTTCTGTGTAGCTCCCAAGCGAGCATCAGCTAGAGAGTCACAGTGTGAACTAATTCTTGGAGAAAATACTTCAGACAAAGGGTGGGGATGGAAGCCTTTGCTCTTATCCTCCATCCCCTCTCGGCATGTTTGCCACGCCATGGTTCCAGTTCGTCAGAAAGTGCAATTGAAAAAGAATGGGGGAGACCCAGTGTGGTGGCTCATGCCTGTATTCCCAGCACTTTGGGAGGTTGAGGCAGGTAGATTGCTTGAGCTCAGGAGTTCGAGACCATTTCAAGACCAGCCTGGGCAACATGGCAAAACCCATTCTCTACAAAAAAATATAAAAATCAGGCCGGGCAGGGTGGCTCATGCCTGTAATCCTAGCACTTTGGGAGGCCAAGGTGGGCGGACCACTTGAGGTCAGGAGTTCGAAATATATAAATTAGCCAGGCGTTGTGGTGCTGGATCCAGGAGGTTGAGGCTGCAGTGAGCCATGTTCATGCCACTGCACTCCAGCCTGGGTAACAGAGCAAGACCTTGTCTTAAAAAAAAAAAAGAATAGGGGAAATCAGCCCCCATGATCCCCAAAGAGCACATGTGAGGAAGATGTGTTCATTTTCTGACTACTAAAAGGTTCAGTGCAGTGAGTTTCAAACTTTTTTTTCAAGCTATAAAATCTGCACGCAAAGTATTATGTAGCAGTGCAATATATAACGCAGATTTAAATGGAGCTTCTTGTTTGGCTAAAGTAAGAATGGAGGACATTCCCGTGCCTCCCTGTTTCTCCTCCAAGGTGCCGTTTCCATACATCCCTCAGGTTCCTTGGAACACAGTTTGAAAACTACTGACCTGAAGCCACAGAAGACAGGGGTCTATCTGGAGCAAATGAGAGAAGCCTATCAGCATTCCAATTTTCCATCTTCAAAAAACAAGGGGAGCCTTTCCTTACCAGCCACCCAAAGGTTGGACCTGTGGCTCTGTCGTCACTATGAGCCTATGACATAAAGTACCAGTCCTGACCAGGCTCAGTGGGATTACATGCCTGTAATCCCAGCACTTTGGGAGGCTGAGGTGGGTGGATCACTTAAGGTCAGGAATTCAAGACCAGCTTGGCCAACATGGTGAAACCCTGTCTCTACTAAAAATATAAAAATTAGTCGAGTGTGGTGGTACACACCTGTAATCCCAGCTACTCGGGAGGCTGAGGCAGGAGAATTGCTTGAACCCAGGAGGTGGAGGTTGCAGTGAGCTGAGATCATACCACTGCACTCTAGTCTGGGTGACAGAGCGAGACTGTGGCAAAAACAACAACAGCGATAACAAGGTGTGGTGGGTGGCTCATGCCTGTAATCCCAGCACTCTGGGAGTCAGGAGGATCAAATGAGGCCAGGAGTTTGGGACCAGCCTGGGCAACACAGTGAGACACCATCTCATATTTTACAAATAAAAAAGAAGCACCCGTCCATCCAAGCCCAATCCCTGTGTGATCTCAGATCTCACCTGCCTTAGCAAAGTCTTCCCGGTTATAACTGAAATCCTTGAGGAAGGTGATACTCTCACTCCCAGGGTTGTACCTCCGAGATGTCTCCAGAAGCATCACCTGCACACAAGCAGCAGACCTCAAACGGGGACGAGGAGGGCTAGTCTTGGAGCATGGCCCCTTCCAGGGAGGCCGATTCCCCTCATCCCTGCTTCCCGGTGGATCTGGCTCTCCCAGCTCGACGTCTAGAGGCCCTCCCACAGATAATCCCACTCTGCTTCTCCCTTCATCCCTCGCCCTTCTCCAGCCACCTCGATCGCAGAGGTCTTTAGCAGGGCAATCTGGTCCTCCCGGCTGAGCTGCAGGAAGCCAGGAAGCTGTTTAGCAAAGTCAACTATCTCCTGCACAGAGACGATGGCCAGCTCAGTGAAGTGGGCAAAGCGCTGCTGACGGGCCTCCCAGCTGTGGGGGTCTGGTGCCATGGGCCAAGGCTACCCAGGAGGAAAAAGGCAAAGCGCTTTGAGTTGAACATCAAGAAGCCCACTGGTGATCTGGGCGCAGCCACCTCTCCCCAGGTGTGTCAAGTACCGTGACTCGAAGCTGGTCAGAAAAGGAGCGCCGGTTACACTGTTGCTGGGCAGTGACCAGCTTCTCAATCATGCCCAGTTGCTCTGGGCTGAGCTGGGGCAGGATCTGGGGAGGCGAGGAAGCCCTGAGGGGCAGGGATGTGGCATGAGCCTGTTCCTCCTCTTGCCGCTTCAGTTTCTTCAGGCGGATCTGTTCTTCTGACAGGACACCTAAGGACAGGGCCAGATGTGAGGAGGGGTGCAGATAGGGAGACAGGAAGCAAGGAGCAAGCAAAAGGGACAGTTTGGGGCTCCAGAAAAGGAGACAGCACTGGGTAAAGGGAAGAAGATATTTTTTTTTTTAAATGAAGTCTCACATTCACTCAGGCTGGAGTACAGTGGCATGATCTCAGCTCACTGCAACCTCCACCTCCCAGGTTCAAGTGATTCTCCTGCCTCAGCCTTCTGAGTAACTAGAATTACAGGCACATGCCACCACACCTGGATAATTTTTGTATTTTTAGTAGAGGTGACAGGATTTCACCACGTTGGCCAGGCTAGTCTCAAACTCCTGACCTCAGGTGATCCACCTGCCTTGGCCTCCCAAAGTGCTGGGATTACAGGTGTGAGCCACTGCGCCCGATCTAGAAAGATATTTTAATCCATACTTAGGGACCCGTTAGCTCTGGCAAGTTCAGGCACCTGTCTGTGGTCACACCTTGGCTCCCTCTTTCCCCTCAGCCTCTTCCCCACTCCAGCCCCAGAAACTTACACTCCTCCCGCATGCCAGCCTGGCGGCACTTGCGAAGCCGACACTCCTGGCACTTGCGACGCATATAGGTGTCCATGGGGCAGTGGCCGCCGCTGTGGCAGACATAGCGCGCTCCCTTGATGACACTGCGGCGGAAGAATCCCTTGCAGCCCTCACAGCTCAGAACGTTGTAGTGGAAACCGGAGGCCTTGTCCCCACACACGCTGCATAGCTCGTTCCCCAGCATTTTGGGGGCTGGCCCCTTTTTCCGCTTTTGTGGACGGAGCTCTGGAGACAGGAAAGTGCCTCAGTGCTCTCCCCAGAGGAAAGAGCTTCATGTTCTCCCTGACTCAGCCACTGCCCTGGGCACTCGTGTACCTCCATTCCCTTCAACTCCAGTCTCTTTTATGAGAACAGTGGCCCTCATTTGCCAAGTGTCATTATGTTCTAGGTACTGTATGACCCTTTTATATACACTGATCCTTATGAAAACCATACATTTATTTTATTTTATTTTGAGGCTGAGTCACTCTCTCGCCCAGGCTGGAATGCAGTGGTGTGATCTCGGCTCACTGCAACCTCCACCTCCCAGGTTCTCCTGCTTTAGCCTCTTGAGTAGCTGGGACTACAGGCACGTACTACCACGCCTGGCTAATTTTTTGTATTTTTAGTAGAGATGGGGTTTCACCATGTTAGCCAGATGGTCTTGAGCTCCTGACCTCGTGATACGCCCGCCTCAGCCTCCCAAAGTGCTGGGATTACAGGTGTGAGCCACCACGCCTGGCCCATAATTTTTATTCACATTTTATAAACAAGGAAATTGAGGCTCAGAAAGGCCTAAAGTAGAGACAAAATTCACACTTCGATCAGTCAGATTTAGTTAGCTCCAAAGCTTTTGGACTTAACCATGAAATTATATGTAAGGTAAAACCCCCCAAGGAACCTCTTTCAGATCCTACCTCCTCCAAGCCCAGAAGCTCCTCACCTGGGTGTTCTGAAGGAGGCTCTTCCCTGGTGAGCAGGGCTGTGGGCTCAGCAGCCTCCAGCCCCACCCCTGCAGTGCCCCCAGCAGAGTGGTGGGGCATCCTGGCTTCCTCTCTGAGGATGCAGCTGCTGCCTCCCTGGGCCTGGCTGCTTGCATCCTGTGTGCCTGGCTTCCACAGCGCCACTGCAGAGTCTGAGCTCCAAAAGAGAGGCACAAGGGGGTCTCAGGCCCCATCCCGACTCCCCTGCCCAGTGTCCTAGCTGGGAAACTGCAAACTTATCCCCACCCTTAGAGGGCAGCAAAGTCCCAGCTCAGGCTTTGGGACCCTAGGGTCCGTGTGGGCTCTAGCTAGGACTAGTCACTTGTTTCTTTCATCTTAAGCCCTTAATGAAGATATTAACCCTTGTCCCTTTGCGGGGCTGGAGGGTATGCATTTCAGAGATCAGACAAAACTCTTTAAAGCCAGAGCAGGGTAAGCACTCAGCTGGCCAGCTCTCTCCAGCAGCAAGCCCAGATTGGGGAGGACTGGGTGGGTGCCTGCAAAGACCAGGCAGTGGAACCAGGGGAGAGGTGACCTGGGTGGGAGGCGAGCACCACTAAGAATGACTCTAGACTACTCTCTGAGGAGGGAAGAAGGCAGTTAATGAAGGAAGCTGATTCCTACAGGAGGCAAGGAGCCTGCGGTCTGGGCTCAGGGGAGAGGGCTGGAATGAAGCTTACCAGGAGGAATGTCAGGCACAGGGGCCCCCAGCCACAAGGACATCTCTTCCTGGAGCCCTGGTCATTACCAAGGCACTGCCCTGCAGGAAGGACCCAGGTTACACTCTTCTAAAACTGGGCTCCTTTCTGGCCTCAGCTCCCTTCTCCACCTGACCCTCCCTTTTATCAGTACCAACAATATCAGCTAACATTTACTTGCTATGTATTAGCCTATACTAAGGATTTATTGCATTACTATTATGCTTTTTAGAGACAGGGTCTCCCTATGTTGCCCAGGCTGGTCTAGGAACTCCTGAGCTCAAGTGATCCTCGCACCTGGGCCTCCCAAAGTGTGGGGATTACAGGAGTGAACCACTGCACCCAGCCTATTATAAGACTTTATATGCTTTCCTCATATCTCTCTGAAGTCAAGACTATTTTTTTTTTTTTTTTGAGATGGGGTCCCTCTATGTTGTCCAGGTTAGAGCTCAGCGCTATTCACAGGTGTAATAATAGTGCACTATCACCTCAAACTACTGGGCTCAAGCAATCAGCTTCCTGAGTAGCTGAGATTATAGGCTCACGCTACTGCTCCCGGCTCAGGACTATTCTTTTTGTTTTTGTTTTTGTTTTTTTTGAGACAGAGTTTCGCTCCTTACCCAGGCTGGAGTGCAATGGCGCGATCTCGGCTCACCGCAACCTCCGCCTCCTGGGTTCAGGCAATTCTCCCGCCTCAGCCTGCTGAGTAGCTGGGATTACAGGCACGCGCCACCTTGCCCAGCTAACTTTTTGTATTTTTAGTAGAGACTGGTTTCACCATGTTGACCAGGATGGTCTCGATCTCTTGACCTCGTGATCCACCCGCATCGGCCTCCCAAAGTGCTGGGATTACCGGCGTGAGTCACCGCGCCCGGCTCAGGACTATTCTTAAACTCATTTTTACAGGTGAGCAAACTGAGGTTCAAAGAGATTAAGTAACTATGGTCTCACAGGCAGCGGTAGAGTCAAGACTCCAACCCTGCTCTGACTCCAATGTCTGGGCTCCCAGACACTGTGCCAGCCTTTCTCCCCCAAAGTGCCCTCCAGGCCAGCAGGAAATGTTTGGGTACATCTACCCTGCTTCTCTTGGGCCCCCTCCCCCTCACTTCAATACTGAGGACAGCCAGAGTTGAGCAGGACCAGGAGACAGGATCAAAGCTTGCTCCACCCAGTGAAATACGCTGCTTATTAGAGACCCTCACTAGAGCCACTTTCCAGGGTCCCAGCACAAACCTCTTGTCTCCAAGAATCTCCCCAATTCACATGGAGGACCTCCTTCCCCGGAACCCCTCATGAGTTATTCTGGGACCCAGAGTCCTGTCCCTGTCCCAAGCTCCCATCACGATCACCCCTCACTTCTCCCCAGAAACCCCCTTTTCAGATCCTTAGGACATTCCCCTACCCCACCCCAGATACAGAGCCCCAGGCCACTGCTAAGGAGCAGACCCACCGAGTCCCCAGGCCACCAGACTTCCTGGGTGGGCAGTCTCTGGAGCCCCCTTGCTGGGAGAAGAGGATGGTGCAGTTCCCTGTCCAGAAGCCTTGGTGGCCAGCCGGTGAGCTGGAGCTGAGCACAAGTGGGACCTGGAACCCCAGGGAAGTAGCAATTTGGAGAAAGGCTGAGAGGAGGGACTGCCAAGGGGTCGGGCCACCCCTCCTTCCTGCCTGGCGACTGGAGCCCTCCCCTCCTCACCCCGCCCACATGGCAGCTTCTCCATCAGGTTGGCTCCTCCCCAGCCAGCCACCCTGTCTCCGGCCACTCCCGCCCCACTACTCTCGGCCAAAGCAGTGGCATTTCCCTGCAGACTTGCCAAGTTCCATGTCTCTCCCCTTCCTCTCCTTACCCAGCGCTCTTAGCAGCTCTTGCAGAAAGAAGGACTGCCTCCCAGGAACCCCCACCCCAATCCCAGCAGCCTCCAGAGTTGGTGTTCCCTCCCCTCCATAGACACCTCGAGGAGCAAAGGTCCCGGCACGGCCCGGAATATTGCGACACTGGGCCCCAGCCTGCTTTCCCAGCTTCCCTCCTCCTCCCTTGCCTCTGGGAAGAGGCCAAGAAGCTCTCCCTGGTCCTCAGCCAAGCTGGTAGAAATCCAGGGGTAGAGAGAGACAGGTGCTGGGCCTTCCAAGGAGTTTCTGAATGTGGGTGCCCTGCAGGGACCACAGTAAGAAGAGGCCAGGACTGCCTTTGGTAGGAAATCTGCAATGAGCAATGGCAGGCCTGGGATGGGGGGAGGGGTTGGCAGGAGGCAGGCCACTCAGGTGCCAGCGCAGGATGGACCTGGGAAAGCATGCAGGCTGCCTCATCTGAGGAACAACCCTATCTGAAGTGATGGCAGGCTCCAAGCAGCAGCTACTCAGACTAGCCATATTTTTCCCACTCTGCTGCCTGGGGCATGAAATCCATGAAAGTAGACATCATATTTCATTGATTTCATCTCCCCTAAAACCCCTGAAACAGGGCCTGGCATAGAGGAGGCAGCAGAGTAGGTACTGTGTTCCTATTTGTTGACTAACAAGAAAAATATTCTCTTCTATCCCCTACTTGTTAGCCCTAGTCAATTTTTTTTATTCCTTTTTTTTTTTCGAGGTGGGGTCTCATTATGTTGCCCAAGCTAGTTTCATACTCCTGGGCTTAAGCCATCCTCCCAAAATGCTGGGATTACAGGTGCGCACCACCACAACTACTGTAGTCAGTTTCAACTCAGCATGTAGATTTGGCGTTCAGGCTCTGGGCTCAGATTTTGGGTTCAAATCCTAAACCTCTTATTACCTGTGTGATTTTTTTTTTTTTTTTTTTTTTTTTTTTTTGAGACGGAGTTTCGCTGTTGTTACCCAGACTGGAGTGCAATGGCATGATCTCGGCTCACCACAACCTCCGCCTTCTGGGTTCAAGCAATTCTCCTGCCTCAGCCTCCCGAGTAGCTGGGACTACAGGCGCGCGTGCACCACCATGCCCAGCTAATTTTTGTATTTTTAGTAGAGACGGGTTTCACCTTGTTGACCGGGATGGTGTTGATCTCTTAACCTCGTGATCCACTGCCTTGGCCTCCCAAAGTGCTGGGATTATAGGCGTGAGCCACCGCGCCCGGCCACCTGTGTGATCTTCATTGAATAAGTTACTTGATATATCTGAATCTTTGTTTCCCTATCTTTAAAATAGGAATATTTGAGCCAGCAACGGTATGTTGAAAAATAAAAAGGCCAGGCATGGTGGCTCATGCTTGTAATCCCAGCACTTTAGGAGGCCAAGGTGGGCAGATCACTTGCGGTCAGGAGTTTGAGACCAGCCTGGCTAATGTAGTGAAACCCCGTCTCTACTAAAAATACAGAAATTAGCCAGGCATGGTGGTGCATGGTGTAATCCCAGCTACGCAGGAGGCTGAGGCAGGAGAATCACTTGAACCCGGAAGGTTGCAATGAACCAGCCTGGGTGACAGAGTGAGACTCCATCTCAAAAAAATAAAGAAAAATAAATACAATAGGGATAATAGTTATTTTTACCACACAAGGTTGTTGTTGAGATTGAAACTATAGATCATGTTGGGTTCAGTGGCTCATGTCTGTAATCTGAGCACTTTGGGAGACTGAGGCAGACGGATCACTTGAGATCAGAGCTCCAGACCAGCCTGGCTTAACATGGTGAAACCCCATCTCTACTAAAAATCCAAAAAAAATTAGCTGGGTGTTGTGGCACATGCTTGTAATCTCAGCTACTCAGGAGTCTAAGGCAGGAGAATTGCTTGAACCTGGGAGACAAAGGTTGCAGTGACCCAAGATCACACCATTGCACTCCAGTGCCTGGGCAACAAGAGCAAAACTCCATCTCAGAAAAGAGTGAGTCGGGTAGTGGCTCACGCCTGTGATCCCAGCACTTCGGGAGGCTGAGACAGGCGGATCATGAGGTCAAGAGATCGAGATCATCCTGGCTAACAGTGAAACCCCGTCTCTACTAAAAATACAAAAAAAAAAATTAGCCAGGCATGATGGCGGGTGCCTATAATCACAGCTACTTGGGAGGCTGAGGCAGGAGAATTACTTGAACCCAAGAGGTGGAGGTTGTGGTGAGCTGAGATGGTGCCACTGCACTCCAGCCTGGGTGACAGAGTGAAACTCCATCTCAAAAAAAAAAAAGAATTTAAAAAAGGAAAAAAAAAAAAGAAACTACATCACAATTTATATCACAATGTAATTAAGTGTTCGAGAAATGGTAGCAGTTATCATCACCCTCCCAGTTCTTTCAGCTGGGGGTCTTCCCATCACCTAAACTCGTGCATTTTGAACTTTGTACTTGTTTCGATATACAACACAAACCCTTCACTATCTTTTCTGGTCCTTAAAACAGCCCCAGGAGGAAAGTAGGGTAATAACCTGAGCTCCACTTGACACAGGACACTGAAATTCATGTGAGGGCTTTTTCCAAGACCACACAGTTAGTGGCCAGGCTGGGATCAGAACCCAAATGTCCTCACTCCGGTCCCTGTGCTGTGTCAGAGTCCAGGACAATTTTGTCTTGTTGCTTCTTAGGCCAGTGAAGTGCTGGAATGGAAGCAGCCAGAGTTGGTGGGCTACAGGGGAGAGGTTGAGAACCCTGCAGATGCTCCAGTCCAGATGTGGGAGGCGAGGAGAGGAGGTTACTGCTGGTCATTCACCCCCTGCCCCATTCCCAGTTTCCTGCTCACGGGCTCTTCCTGTTTTGCTATGAACTCCAGTTCCCATGGGGCCCACATTAAAGCATTTGAGGACAGGGGGCCAGGGCAGGCAGCCAAAGGGACCGAAACAGATGAACAGGGCACCAGGGAAGAGAACAGAGGAAACAGGGAAAGAGTGAACAGTGGGTGTGGGGAGGGACAGGAGCCAGATGAGAAAAAGATGAAGGCTGAGGCAGAAGAGGAGCCTGGTGAAAGACAGGGGGGAAGCACAGGGTAGGACAGGGGAACAGGCAGGGGCTGGGGAGCAGAGTGTGAGAAGCAGCAGGCCGGGTGGTGTTGCAAAATCTGCCCATGTATTCATTTTCACATTTCAGAAAAGCCCCTGTGACACCCCCATCTCAGACTTCTGCCTCCAGCTTTTGCTGTTGTTCCCCCTTATCACAAGGTCATCCCCTCCCAAGGCCCCCACCCTGGTCTGGGTGTCTCTGAGTCACAAGCACCAGGCTCTCCTTTCCTCTCGCTTGTGTTCCCTCTTTGATTTTCACAAGGTCCCAGCTGTCCTGGAAAAGCAGAAACCAGGGACTGTAGTCGCTGAGAGACCGGCACTATTCTGTCCCAGCACCCACATCACCAGTCCAGCTCCCTCCTCTACCTCCCAGAAGCTCCAGCCCAGTAGGGCAGTCAGAGATGTCCCTGAGATGCCAGGTTTCAGGAAACTCAGGACTCAAATGGGCTGGGGCCTGGTACCCTATCATCTGAGAGCTGGGAGAAGCCTCTTTCATCCACTTTGTTCTTCAACTCCCTCTCCTGACACCTAGTCTCCCCACAGGTGGCTTTGCAGGGTCCAGGGCCATACATAAGTCCTCTCTGGAGGTGGGCGGGGGGGCAGGCTAGGGCCAACTGCTGAAAAAGTAGGTCAGAGCACCAAATCCCCCAAGCCAGGGAGTTGGCCTCAGCCTCATCTCCTGTTTAGGAGGAACTATAAACACGACTCCAACTGCCAGAGCTGTCCATCAGGTTACAGCTCAGAAACCCCAACCTTCATCCCCACAAAGAGGGAAGAGGAGAAGAAAATGGGAGAAGACCAAAACCTGTTGGCAGTATTTCCACAGAGTTTCTGGAGACCAACCTGAGACTTGCTTCAAGCCAGGGCAAGCAGTCAGGTGATCAGCAACTGGAATCACCTTCCCACTTTGCCAGCCCCACCCCTGTGGCACAGTCCCAACAGCCGGCAGTTGTTAGGTCCAGAGCCCCCCAGTCCTGTGAGCCTCTTCTGTGTTTCCTTGGCTCCTGTAAGAGACCATGTCCCTGGGAACACACTTGGGGATCTACCAAGTCTCATATGTGGCCCCCTAGAACCTCCACAGGTTTCTTCTTGCAACAAGGGGAAACTTGAAGCAGAAACAGGAGTATTCACCAGCCACGGTCGCAGGTACTATATGAGTTCATGGGAACTCATTCCCATGAAGCAGGCCACAGGGTAAGGTTTGCAGGGCTGGACGAGGGCAACTGCTTCTTGTTCCCTCCTTTACCATTCTGGAAGGGTGGAAAGTGTGGCGATCATCTTACAGACCTACTTGAGTATCTACTCAAATGACTTCTGCTCAACCTTCCAATCTTCATCTTTACAAAAAAAAAAAAAAAAAATTAGCCAGGTGTGGTGGCATCTGCCCCTAGCTACTTGAGGGGCTCAGGTGGGAGGATTGTTAGCGCTCAGGAGGTCGAAGCTGCAGGAAGCCATGATTGCACCACTGCACTTAGCCTGGGCGACAGAGGGAAGACTGTCTCAAAAAAAAGAATACAATTATAGCTGATTCAGAAGTTCGAGCTCAAGCTCAAACAAACAAAAATCACAAACCTTCCAATTATATATATCTGCCTCTTCAGATGCCTCTTTTTATGGTCTCAAAAAGAAGAGGAAGAAGAAGAAGACAACGACGAGTATAGCTGATTCAAAAGTTCGAGCTCAAGCTCAAAAAAGCAAAAATCACAAACACACTCCGTTTATAAAACTGCCTCTTCAGATGGGAAAAAAAGGCTAACGTACCTAGATCTCGATTTACTTCCACTAACACAGGATAAGGTAGTGGTTCCTGTCCTCACCTTCAGAGATTCCGATTTATTTGATTTGGGATAGGCCCACATATCCATCTATCTCACCATCTACATGTCTTTTTTTTTTTTCATCTGTAGTTAAGGACCACAGAATCAGGCAGAAAATGCAAAGGCTCGAGGGAAGCGGGTGAAGAAACTGGGGCTCAGCTCCAGGCCCTACTATCTACTCGTGCTGTAATCAATCCCCACCCTTCCTGGAATAGTTTCTCCATATAAAAACTGAAATCACATCTGCTTCATCAATCGCTCCTACATGGGATACTTGCAGGCACAAAGAATATAGACATATTTGAGCAAGTGGGAAGAAATGCAAAAGATGAATTTGAGAGATGGCTAAAATTTGGTGAGCCAAAGAGTTACAAACTCTGAAAGTACAATGGTCTGGCTAGTTTGCAAGGAGAGAGGCTTATTAAAACAAAACACTCAAACCCCCTCCCCCCAACTAATATGCAGTATTTTGCCAATCAGCCAGGCCCCATTTATTTTATTTATTTTTGAAACAGAATCTCACTCTATCACTCAGGCTGGAGTGAAGTGGCACAATCTCAGCTCACTGCAACCTCTGCCTCCTGGGTTCAAGCGATTCTCTTGTCTCAGTCTCCCAAGTAGCTGGGATTACAAGCGTGCATCACCACGCCTGGCTAATTTTTGTATTTTTAGTAGAGACAGAGTTTCACTGTGTTAGCTAGGCTAGTTTCAAACTCCTGACCTCAGGTGATCTGCCCGCCTTGTCCTCCCAAAGGGCTGGGATTACAGGTGTGAGCCACTGCACACCTAGACCCCATTTTAGTCCCATGAATGTGAAAAGGTTTCCTTTGATAAAAACCTCTTTATTGAAAAGTATTTTGGAATCTACAATGCAATTTGAGTAGCCTGCAAGCAGCAGCCCATTATAGACTATTTAACTGAAAATCACAAAACTTGACTTTTAATCCATTCTCCTAAACTGTGAGTTTGGGTAAGTCACTTCTTATCTCCAGGTTTGTAAAGTAAGAGGACTAGGTTAAATCAGGTATTCAGAGATGCTGATTTATGAAACCTCTAATAGTCTTTGTGAGCCATTTGAGATTATATGCAAAATTCCATGTGTGTGTTTATATGTGTGGACATTTTTCTGGAGAGGTGCAAAATTTTCATGTGATTCTTAAAAGGGATTGTGACTAAATTAGAAGGTCAAGAACTATTTGGCTACCCAGGCCTCAGCTCTTATTCTATTTGCTTCTCACCCTCTTCCATGACAACTCTGGAAGCAAAGTGTAGATCCTGAAGTATATGGAAATAATCGAATCTGGAGTCCTAGGGCAAAATAAGGACAGATAAGTGTGATCTTTTTTTTTTTTAAAGACACGGTCTTGCTCTGTCACTCAGACTGGAGGGCAGTTGCACCGTCATAGCTAACTGCAGCCTCGATCTCCCAGGCTTAAGGTGGTTGATCTTCCCACTTCGGCCTCCCAAGAAGTTAGGTGCATGCCACCACACCTGGCTAATTTTTAAACTTTTTTTTTTGGTAGAGACAAGATCTTCCTATGCTGCTCAGGCTGATCTCGAACTCCTGGGCTCAACCAATCTTCCCCCTCTGGCCTCCCAAAGTGCTGGGATTACAGATGTAAGCCATCACACCAAGCCTAATCAGTTTTTTGTTGTTATTGTTGTTCTGAGATGGAGTCTTGCTCTGCCACACAGGCTGGAGGGCAGTGGCGTGATCTCGGTTCACTGTAACCTCTGCCTCCAGGGTTCAAGCGATTCTCCTGTCTCAGCCTCCTGGGAAGCTGGGATTACAGGAATGCACCACCACACCCAGCAAATGTTTTCTTATTTTTAGTAGAGACAGGGTTTTGCCATGTTGGCCAGGCTGGTCTCGAACTCCTGACCTCAGGTGATTCGCCTGCCTTGGCCCCTAGGTGCCCAAGCCTGATCAGTTTTGTTTCTCAAAGATCTGAGATTTGCTTCTTGTAGGCAGATCTGAATCAAAGCATCCCCAGGACCTATGACCTGAACTCCTGCAACCCTCACAGGAGTGACAAAGTCCTGAGGCCAAACTGGCTGCACCTGAATCCTCATGGCCAATATCAAGAGGGCCACTGATTCTGTGGAAACCCAGCTACTCCCACTTTATGGTATGTGCCTGCCCCTTAACTCAAAATACCTCTCCACTGGTCTGAAATTCCTCCCCTAGGGATTCAGTGCTTTGGGTCTGGGAAGTCTGAACATCCTGTGCAACCCGACTCCTTTGGGAAGAGGCATGACGTCTTGACTCTAATTAACTGTAACTTGGAAGTGGAGGAGAGGAAGGACAGGGAAAGGACTGGAAGGGGAAGTGAGAGGGCTACTGAAGTTTTGTGCGGGGCAGGAACGGTGTAGGCTGGACTGGGAGCAACCTCAAGGACACAGGGAGTCCAAAGGGTTGTTGAGACACTGTGCCCTGCACCCCAAGCAAAACGTCTCTCAGAGAACAGGGCCAGGGCTCAATCCCCACCAAAGGCAGAGGCGTGGAGAGACGGGACCTCTACCTTCCCATCCCTCGCCTCGATTCTGCACCCGCTCTAGCTAGGGGGTCAAGCCCAGCAGCACCCGGACTGGAGGGGTATTTGCTCTCCAGGCCACAGTCCCGCCCACTGCAAGCGCCACCTTGGTAAGGGATTTCTCCGGACAGAGGCAAAGGCGAATTCATGGCCTTCTTTATCAAGATGAGGTCTTCGAGTTCTGGCTGCCGCACCAGGTCGCGCTACATTCCAACGCTCCTCCACCACAGCCAGATCACGACCCTCTTGCACGCATTCCCACCAAGATTGCGCATTCTCCCCCAACCCGAGCCCGTCCCTAAGTAAGATGGAGGCGAGCGCACTTCCGGCGTGTGTCCTTACGGGTGCGTCCGGGCGGCTGCTGCAGGTGCCACCTAGCGGGTTCCAGCCTCTTTGCTGCATAGATTACAACGGAGATGGCGGGCAAGCGGTCCGGCTGGAACCGGGTGGCTCTCCTCCAGCTTCTTCTCGGCGTGAACCTGATGGTGATGCCGCCCACCCAGGCCCGGAGTCTGCGCTTCGTTACCTTGGTAATGAGACATGGGGTCACCAAAGAGTTCCCCGAAGCTAGAAGGGCAAAGGCCAGCTGGTGAGGGTCGGGGATCTTGGGAAGGAACAGCTGATTTAGGAAGGGACGCCTGGCCTGGAAAGCTGGGGTGGGTGGGCTCAGGACTGACGTGAAGCCTTGGGTTACGGGGGTCAGGGTGACTGAATAGGTCGGGGTGAGTCTGCCCTGAGACAGGGAAGTAGTTGAATGATTAAGACTCATCTCTAAAGAAGCCTTTGGTTATCTTCTTTTCCCAAGTCCCCACCACACATATTGCTTTCGCTTCTCTTTTCCCTTCCCACCGTACATTGGCTTTGCCTGTGGTCTCCAGTGGCATTGTTTAGCCAAGTTAGAATTTCTGGAATCTGGAAGAAGTGACTGACTCCTAGCTGGGGTCTTTTGTAGCGAGTAGGCTTCCCAGAGGGAATGAGACTTCCTTCCCCAAAATGGGGCAAAAGGTAGGCTCTGGGTTCTTATCAATGAGACCCTTCTGACCTATAGGCCAACCATTTTCTTCCCTTAGCTGTACCGCCACGGAGACCGTTCACCAGTGAAGACATATCCCAAGGACCCCTATCAGGAAGAAGAATGGCCCCAGGGGTTTGGTCAGTTAACCAAGGTGAGTCAGAAGCCAGCCTTTCCTCAGGGTGAGCTGCAGAATGAATGATGTCTAGAGCAGGCTACAGAACTTGGGGCCCTACTCAAATGCCTTTTCCCACATGGGTGCTGACTTTGACCAGATTTCATAACCTTCATCTCTGCGCCCATGATATTGCCATGCATGACTGTCCACTTAATGAAAGACTTTTGGGATCAGAGTAACTCACTCCAGCAAAGGGTAAACCTAGAAAGCAACAGGGCCTATACCTATGGGGCTTGTGAGCCACCCCTTCCCTCTAGACCCTCTTAACCCTTGAGTTTGCCCACAGGAGGGGATGCTACAGCACTGGGAGCTGGGCCAGGCCCTGCGGCAGCGCTACTACGGCTTCTTAAACACCTCTTACCACCGGCAAGAGGTAAGGCTGGGAGCTCGAGGCAAAGGGAATGGGGGTGTGCTGCCCTCATCTTTTGCCCTCAGGAAGCCTAAGGCTGAGACTGAGCACTTTGACCTCCTTCCCGTATTTTTGGTCACAACTACAGGAAAAGACATCTGAGAACTGTCTGGAACAAAGCCCTAGAAGTTGAGTTGCCCCTGATTGGCTGGGAAGAGGTGAACCTGATTAAGCATCCAAATTCAGACTTAAGGGTGGGACTGGCAGAGGGGTTCCTGACTCTGTGAAATCACAGGCTTTCCATCCAAGACATTTACTGAGTACCTATTAAAAGGCCAGGGACTGTGCTAGCACTTTGCACACAGTGGTGCACCACACAGATACGCTGTCTTCATGGAGCTTAGAATGTCATGGAACGTCATGGGGGTATCTGATGATAAACCAGACAGCCAAGATGAAAGACGTCGAGGAAGACATGCATAGATAGGGCACATCAGGGAGACTGGCAAGTGTGCCTGCTCCTTGAGTCCTTGCCCCACCCCAGGGATGGGGAAACTGTTCCTCTGGTTACCACGCTCAGCCACTGGTAGACATTGTCTCAAGAGTCCCTAGACATTGTTATTGTTCCCTGAAGGCCCAGCTCTGTCCTAAGCTTGCTCTTCCCCAGTTTCCTCCTCCCTTTTCATGAGCCACTGTCTCTCATGATCTCTTCAGAATATGTACATATATATTAAAGGGGCCTTGCTCTATCACCCAAACTGTAGTACAATGACTCAGTCATAGCTCACTGCCACCTCAAATTCCTGGCCTCAAGCGATCCCCCTGCATTAGCCTCCCAAAGTGCTGGGATTATAGGCATGAGTCACAAGGCCCAGCCTTTATCTTATTTTTTTCTCCTTGGTCTCTAAGGGTAGTCACTGGAGGCAGTTTCTGCCCCAAGGACCCTAATCTAGATAGGGAGACAGATGTTTTTATAAAGCCAGACAGACTAGAAAGCCTTACTGATTGACTCAGCACTTTTTTTTTTGAGACTGAGTTTCGCTCTTGTTACCCAGGCTTGAGTGCAATGGCGAGATCTCGGCTCACTGCAACCTCCACCTCCTGGGTTTAGGCAATTCTCCTGCCTCAGCCTCCTGAGTAGCTGGGATTACAGGCATGTGCCACCATGCCCAGCTAATTTTTTGTATTTTTAGTAGAGACGGGGTTTCGCCGTGTTGACCAGGACGGTCTCGATCTCTTGACCTCGTGATCCACCCGCCTCAGCGGGTGCTGGGATTACAGGTTTGAGCCACTGCACCCAGCGACTCAGCACTTTTGACTGGGAGGAAGGGGAACGGAGTCTCGCTTTGTCGGCTGGAGTGCAGTGGTGTGATCTCAGCTCACTGCAATCTCCGCCTTTGGGTTCAAGCAATTCTCCTGCCTCTGCCTCCTGAGTAGCTGGGATTATAGGCATGTGCCACCACACCCAGCTAATTTTTGTAGTTTTAGTAGAGACAGGGTTTCATCATTTTGGCCAGGATGGTCTTGATCTCCTGACCTCGTGATCTGCAGAAGGGGCATTTCAATTAGTGCCATTCCCACAGGAGTTCTTCACAGAGCTATGACAACCCCTAGTGGAGTGTTTGAGAAACAGGGGAAGGCCAGCGGCGAGAGGAGGGTGAGGGCCAGATGCATGGCAGGTTTATAGTTTGCTGGGTGACCATCAAGAAAAAACAGGTTCTTCCCTGTGGCTCCACTTTGGGGTGACCAAAACTTCTCTCTCTCACTCTCTCTCTCTCTCTCTCACACACACACACGTAAGGCTTATGTTGCTACACACACAGGTACGTAGGCTTGTGTTGCTATCTCTGCAGGTTTACGTGCGAAGCACAGACTTTGATCGGACTCTCATGAGTGCTGAGGCCAACCTGGCTGGACTCTTCCCTCCCAACGGGATGCAGCGCTTCAACCCAAACATCTCGTGGCAGCCTATCCCCGTGCACACTGTGCCTATTGCTGAGGACAGGGTGAGAGTGGCCAGCGCCCCTGGGCTGGTGGTGAGGTAACAACTCTGGCCGTGGACCTGCTGATGCCAGGCTCCTTTTCCCCACTTCGCTCTACAGCTGCTGAAGTTCCCATTGGGCCCATGTCCCCGTTATGAGCAGCTGCAGAACGAGACCCGGCAGACACCAGAGTATCAGAACGAGAGTTCTCGCAATGCAGTGAGTTGGGGCGGAGGTGGAGGTCACCATGCTGTCCTTTACCCACAGCAGGACTGATCCCCTGTCTGTTTTCCATAGCAATTTCTGGACATGGTGGCCAACGAGACAGGGCTTACAGACCTGACACTGGAGAGCGTCTGGAATGTCTATGACACACTCTTCTGTGAGGTGAGCCCACGAGGGTGACCACTCTGGTCACTCTTCTCCCCCTCAGCAGGCCCAGGTCACCAGGACAGTAGAACATGGTGCCTGTTACCGTCACGCCCCTGTGGAGGTCCAGGGAAGCTGTGCTTGTGAAACCTGGGAACTTCCCTCACTGGTGACAGAGATCCTCAGAGTGGGAAACAGTTTGTTAACTGTCAGCAGTCCCTGCTGCTCTCCACCCAGAGCTCCTTTCTGCTGAGTCTCACATTTCATGCCGGGGCTTCCTTTCCTGTACCCTGCAGCATCCACACCAACTGCCATGTCTACTGGCTCCAGGCTCTCTCCCTCTCTCTTCTCTCCCTCCCTCCCTCATACACACAGGCACCTTCCCACTGGGGAAGAGAGCTGCCCCCTGGAGAGGCTCTGGCCTAGGCCTGGGGCACTAACCTGCCCGCTGCGATACACAGCAAACGCACGGGCTGCACCTGCCGCCCTGGGCCTCACCCCAAACCATGCAGCGTCTGAGCCGGCTAAAGGACTTCAGCTTCCGCTTCCTCTTCGGAATCTACCAGCAGGCGGAGAAGGCCCGGCTTCAGGGGGGTGAGTGACAAGGGCAGCATGTCACTCTGCTCCTCAGGACCCTAAGGTCTGCTGTGGGGGCTTCTCACACACTTCCCCCTCTACTGAAACATTCCCTGCTCTTTCAAAACGAAATCCTCCTCCTCATGCTGTCAGTCACCAGATTTCCCCAGCTCTCCTTCTTTTCTGCCATTCATACTCCTTTTTTTTTTGGAGATGGAGTCTTACTCTGTTGCCCAGGTTGGAGTGCAGTAGCAGGATCTCAGGTCATAGTAACCTTGGTTCCCGGGTTCAAGCAATTCTTTTGCCTCAGCCTTCTGAGTAGCTGGGATTACAGGAGTGTGCCACCGTGCTTGGCTAATTTTTTTGTATTTTTAGTAGAGATGGGATTTCACCATGTTGGTCAGGCTGGTCTCGAACTTCTGACCTTGTGATCTACCTGCCTCAGCCTCCCAAAGTGCTGGGATTACAGTTGTAAGCCACCACGCCTGGCTCATAGTCTTTTTTAAAAATATATTTATTCTTTCAGGGGGGATAGAGTTTCCCTCTTGTCACCCAGGCTGGAGTGCAATTGTGCGATCTTGGCTCACTACAACCCTACAACCTTCGACTCCTGGGTTCAAGCCAATTCTCCTGCCCCAGCCTCCCGAGTAGCTGGGATTACAGGTGTGCACCTCCATGCCCAGCTAATTTTTGTATTTTTAGAAGAAAAAGCGTTTCACCATGTTGGCCAGGTTGCTCTTGAACTCCTGACCTCAGGTGATCCACCAAAGTGCTGGGATTATAGCCATGAGCCACTGCACCTGGCCTATTTATTTATTTTGAAACAGAGTCTTACTCTGTTACCCAGGTTGAAGTGCAGTGGCATGATCTCGGCTCACTGCAACCTCTACCTCCTAGGTTCAAGGGATTCTCCTGCCTCAGTCTCCCAAGTAGCTGGGACTATAGGTGCATGCCATCACACCCAGCTAATTTTTGTATTTTTAGCAGAGACAGGGTTTCAATATATTGGTCAGGCTGGTCTCAAACTCCTGACCTCTGGTGATCTGCCCACCTCAGCCTTCCAAAGTGCTAGGATTACACGTATGAGCCACCGCACCCAGCCCTGCCATTCATATTCCTCTCAAGTTTCACCCACATCAGAAGATCCTCCCTCTCCTAAATGAATAGCCAACCCCAGAGAACCATGGGGGGCCATTTTGAGAAGGCTGAGAGTAACACACATGCCAGCTTCCTCATTTTAGCACCCAAAGGTATGCCTGCCTTCAAACCTTTTGACATCTCAGTTTTCAGAGGATATGGCAGTTACCTGATAAGGACTCACCCACTGTGTACTCTGAAGCAATCTTAAGTTTACATTTGTTTCAAACTGAAGTGCTTCTATAAACATGGGCAGGTTTCTGCATCCATGTTGAAATATAGGTAGAGGCTGGGTGCGGTGGCTCATGCCTGTAATCCCAGGACTTTGGGAGGCTGAGGTGGGTAGATCACCTGAGGTCAATAGTTCAAGACCAGCCTGGCCAACATGGTGAAATGCTGTCTCTACTAAAAATTCAAAAATCAGCCGGGTGTGGTGGCATGCCCCAGCTTCTGGGGAGGCTGAGGCAGGAGAATTGGCTTGAACTCGGGAGGCAGAGGTTGCAGTGAGCTGAAATCATGCCACTGTACTCCAGCCTGGGTGAAAGAATGAGACTCTGTCTCAAAACAAAAAATAAAAAAAGAAATATAGGTAGATATCTTGTTTTGTTTTGCGTCCTTCTGTACATTTGACAGTTCTTAGAGATAGGGGCGCCACAGAGTTCCTGCATGGTCCCTATGACACTGAAGAGTTATCCATGTAGGTGATGAGGCCCAGGACTGGCAGGAGCTGAAAGGAGCACAGACATGTCTAATTAGAAGGCAGAGGTGGCTGTAGCCACCAACACCAGGGACTTTTCTCCTTCAGGAGTCCTGCTGGCTCAGATACGGAAGAACTTGACCCTAATGGCGACCACCTCCCAGCTCCCCAAGCTGCTGGTTTACTCTGCGGTAAGCGCCGGTGCTCCCTGTGCTGTGTCAGGCAAGGAGCTGGATTTCTTCTCTGTTCGGTTCCTGGGGGTGCGGGGAACAGTGCTGATGGGGAGCCCCTATCCCTCACAGCACGACACTACCCTGGTCGCCCTGCAAATGGCACTGGACGTCTACAATGGCGAACAAGCCCCCTACGCTTCCTGCCACATATTTGAACTGTACCAGGAAGATTCTGGGTGAGTGAAGCTAGCAGTGTTCTCTGGAAAAGGCCCTCGGGGGGTGGCTCAGCGCAGCCCAAGGACCCCATTATGGGCAGGCTGAGCAGCTCCTAGGTGGCCTCCTGTCAACCCTCAGGAATTTCTCAGTGGAGATGTACTTTCGGAACGAGAGTGAGAGGGCCCCCTGGCCGCTCAGCCTGCCTGGCTGCCCTCACCGCTGCCCACTGCAGGACTTTCTTCGCCTCACAGAGCCCGTCGTGCCCAAGGACTGGCAGCAGGAGTGTCAGCTGGCAAGCGGTCCTGCAGACACAGGTGAGCTGTCACTGGCACGCTGCCACCGGCTTCTTTGCTAGTCACACCCCAGACCAACCTGCAATTCACATCCGCAAATCTCTAGAGCTCTTGTGCTTCCAGCCATCTGACTGCATTTCCCAGGAGTCTCCTCCCCGACCCCAGACCACTTTGTGCCTTCTCCTGACTCCTCACTCTCAGGTGATGTCTCACTTATATCACCGAGAAAGTAAGAGCTAGGAGAGAATCGGCTTGTTCTCCCACCCCCAGATTCACTGGCTTACTTGCTGGGGGAAGCCACTGCTTAGGATGGCCTCTCCATCCACACTTGGGTTCTCTCTCCTCACCTCTGCAAGGAGCTCTGATGCCTCTGCTTCTCTACTGGATCACTTCCCTCCCAAAAGCCCATCCAAGACCTCCGAGAGCCACCTCTTTCCCAGCCACCAGCCTCTTCCCTCTCAGAATAGAATCTGAGAAAGAGCTGCCTAGATTCTGGCTCTGCTTTGTCACCGCCTGTTCTCTTACCACATTAGACAGTCTTGTGTCACCTTCCACTACCCTGAAGCCACACTTGTCTTGTGACCAGTGACCTCCTCTTACCAAAACCAGTGACCAGTTCTTAGCTTCTCTCACTTCTCAGCAGCATTATATAACTGGTTTACCATCCTGAAACACTTTCTCAGCTTCTCCTGACTTTCAGGCGTCCCTTCCTCACTAAAGAACGGATGACCCAGGACTCATCCCTGGAGCTTTCCCTATCTGTACACACTCCCAAGTGACCTCATGCAGCTTTGTTACTTTATGCCCATCTTCATGCTCACTTCTGTCCTTATGCTCTGACTCACAGATTCACGACCTCTTCTCTGAGCTACAGATTCATCTCCAGCCGCCAACTTGAGGGCTCTACATGCATATTAAGTCATCTCCAAGTTGCAATGTCTAAAACTAGATGCGTTTCCTTCCAAAGCTGCTCTTCTTCCAGGCTTCCTTGTTTTAGTAAATGCCACAAGTCACCTAGTGGCAAAGTAGAACCCTTGGGGTCATTCTGAATACCGTTTCTCATCCCCCTCATCCAGTCCACTGCCAGATCAGCTCAGCCTTTCCAATATAAAACATGCTCTTACCTTCCCTCAGTCTGATCTACCATCAGCTCTTGCCCGACCAACTGAAAGGCTTCCTGAAGTTCTTTCTGGTTCTATTCTTGTCCCTACCAGTCTTTTCAGCACAGCAGAGTTAACTTTTAAAACACATAAACCAGTTGACACTACTGTCCTCTCAGCATTTTCCAATGGCTTCCCATCACATATGGAAGAAAACCCAAGTTCTTTACCACGGCCTTCCAGGCCCTGCTCCATCTGGTCTGCTGCCCCACCTCCTACTTGGTCCTTGCTTACTCTGCTCTTACTCAGTGAGACTGACTTTCTGGATGATCCTAGCACAGGCCAGGCTTATCCCCACATCTGGGCCTTTTGCCCTTCCTTCCTGTCCTCTGCCCCATGACACTCTTCTCAGATTGCTGTATGTCTTTGATGCTAGGTCTCTGTTAAAAATCTCACTTCCTCAACGATGCCCTCCCTGGTGACCTACTTTGCTTTGTCTCTCTGCACCACATTCATCACTGACCTGTCACTCCTATCATTTTTTTTTTTTGAGACAGTGTCTCATTCTGTTGCCCAGGCTGGAGTGCAGTGGCTTGATCCTGGCTCACTGCAGCTTCTACCTTCCGGGTTCAAGTGATTCTCCCACCTCATCCTCCCGAGTAGCTGGGACTACAGGCATGTGCCACCATGCCCAGCTAACTTTTGTGTTTTTAGTAGAAACAGGTTTCCACCATGAAGGCCAGGCTGGTCTCGAACTCCTGACCTCAGGTGATCTGCCTGCCTTGGCCTCCCAAAGTGCTGGGATTACAGGCGTGAGCCACTGCGCCCAGCCCATTTGCTTGTTTATTATATCCCCTCTCCCAGCATGTAGACTCCATGAGAGCAGCGACTCTATCTTGGCCACCTGTGTATCTCCTCTACAGTACCTGGCATATGACAAAACACTGATACATTTCTCTTTCCTCCCCATGCCCAGAGGTGATCGTGGCCTTGGCTGTATGTGGCTCCATCCTCTTCCTCCTCATAGTGCTGCTCCTCACCGTCCTCTTCCGGATGCAGGCCCAGCCTCCAGGCTACCGCCACGTGGCAGATGGGGAGGACCACGCCTGACAACCACTCAGCCCCCTTCCCTCCGCCTCCTAGGGGAGGTGGGCTGGGCTCTCACTCCTGACTGTTGCTGCTCCCCAGCCCATGGACAGGAGACCTTGGGTTGGGCCTCCCTCTGATGACCCCAGCCAGATGAGCGAGTGGGGTTCAGCATGGCCCGTGGTCACGCCTGTCACCCAGCATTCCCATGCCTGATGTTTACCAAGTGCTATGTTGGACACTGGCTTTCTCCAAACAGGATTTGCCTCTTCCATACTCCCTACACACCCGAGATGGAAACTGGCGGTTGGTGTTCATTCAGGACCTAGGATTAGAGAATGGCAGAGTTGGTACTGGATCCGCCTTGCACTTCTATCAAGCTCCACTCTCTCCTCCAGTCTGGTCTCTGGCAAATGGCTCAGAGAACACGGTCTTCCCTCTCATGAGTGCTTATTTTAGTGGGAAAAACAGCTAATAATAGGGGTACGAACACTGGCTCCCGAGGAGCTGGATCACTCAACAACCTGCCAGCCACATTTCCCTTTGGCTGGAGCCACCATTGGACTCAGACAGAATGCTTCAGGAATCGTTGCCACCCTTTCAACTGGAGCAGGTCGGGAGGGTGTCTGTACTTGGGAGGGAGTGGGGAGTGGTGGGAGGGGAGTTGCTTGTCACACGGAATCAGGAAACTGCTCTCCCTCAGCTGGGCTGGGGTCTCCAGGGACTTGAGTGACGTGCAGGTTGTGAGCTGGAAAGCTCTAGACTATGGTCCAGAACAGGGCTGGGGCAGCTCCTGGAGAATGAAAGTTTGGACTGCTAGTGCTCTTTCCTGTGCCTTTTCTTCATTTCTGAGACGCAAGAAGCTCTCTGACCAGGTCAGTTCTAGAAAATCCACGCCAGAAGCTCAGTTGGGTTTGGTTTTATTGGCCATATCAAAAGTGAGCACATATCAAATCACTGGTTGATCCCTCCGCTACCACACACCGAGGGGAGAAAAGTCATTTAGTTCCAAGAGAAGCCTGGTTCCAGGATAGATACAGAGGGACCCTTGGGGCAGCTGCATCACCAACTCCGGAGCAGTCCAGAGCGGTGACACGACAGCGTCTCAGGCCCCAGCACCCCTGCTCCAACCCTACATGTGGATACTTTAGGCCCTTTAACAAATTGCCACCTCTTCTTGTAGGACTTGACCTCATGTGTGGGCTCCAAGGCCTTGTCTGGCCCACACCTTCTTTAGTGTCTCTCATTTCCGTGTCCTGGCTTCCTCCTGGCTCCAAATGAGAACGTGGTAACCTAGAAGGAGTGAGACCAGTCTGACTTACACCTTCTGTTCCCAGCCTCAGAGCTTGGGGCTGGCCTGGGAACCTAGGCTTTCACAAAGAAATATTAGGAAACTGGCCGGGCGCGATGGCTCACGTCTGTAATCCCAGCACTTTGGGAGGCCAAGGAGGGCAGATAATCTGAGGTCAGGAGTTCAAGACCAGCTTGGCCAACAGGGTGAAACCCCGTCTCTACTAAAAATACAAAAAACATTAGCCGGGCATGGTGGCAGGTCCCTGTAATCCCAGCTACGAGGAAGGCTGAGGCAGGAGAATTGCTTGAACCTGAGAGGCAGAGGTTACCGTGAGTCAAGATCACACCATTACACTCCAGCCTGGGCAACAAGAGTGAAACTCCATCTCAAAAATGAAAGAAAGAAACACTAGAAGCTGGAAAGTAGCCAGGCATTGCATGACAAGACAAAGCCAGAGGGTTGGAAGGCCTCGGCTAAAGAGACCGCTGTCTTCTAGCCGTCGTCTTCACAGGCCACTGCCCTGGGGTGAATGTGGCAGGGCAGGGCTGAGGTTGGCTGGCACTGAACCTTGGGAAGTAGGGTCAGGCTCGGCAAATCAGATACATCCTCCTCTACTCACCCATTGCAGAGGCCAGCGTGTCCCCCATAGGATTGAACTCATTGAGCTGCAGAGATAAGAGTGTCAACATGAGGAGGGGGTGATGGTATTAGCAGAGACAGAGAAGGGCACAAAAGGCCTAATTTCTGGTCATTTTGATCAATAACGTAGGTTGAATCCCTGCCTTCTCCCATCATTATCTGAGGGCCCAAGCCTCACCGAACTAATGCCAGAAGATTCTGGGTCGTAGAGCTGACACATCATCTTCCCTGAGTTTCCATCGAACACATCGATTGTCCTCATTTCATAGGGAGTACAACTTTTGAAATTAGGATCTGGGTATCGGCCGACGACAATGACATTGTAGCGAGGATGCCAGGCCGCCTAGAAGATGGAGAGGCTGGTCATGAGAGTAAACACAGAACACGGTCGAGAGGGACATCAAAAACAAACTTCAACAAAGAGGGACATCAGAAGTATTCTTTGGGCCCGGCACGGTGGCTCACGCCTGTAATCCCAGCACTTTGGGAGGCTGAGGGGCGGATCATGAGGTTGGGAAATCGAGACCATCCTGGCTAACATGGTGAAATCCCATCTCTACTAAAAATACAAACAAAAATTAGCTGGGCATGGTGGTGCACACCTGTAGTCCCAGCTACTTGGGAGGCTGAGGCCGGAGAATCGCTTGAACCTGGGAGGCAGAGGTTGCAGTGAACCAAGATCGTGCCACTGCCCCCCAGGCTGGGCAGCAAGAGTGAAACCTGTCTCAAAAAAAAAAAGTCTTCTTTGCCAGTAACAAGCCAACCTAATAATGGAGCTAAGTCCTATACAAAACTACAAGAACGGTTTTTGTGTGTGTGCCTCTGCCATTGTACATTTTTTTTTTTTTAAGATGGGGTTTCACCATGATGGCCGGGCTGGTCTTGAACTCCTGACCTCAGGTGATCCACCCACCTCGGCCTCCCAAAGTGCTAGGATTACAGGCGTGAGCCCATTGTACGTTTTTAATCCCTAGCCGGCAGCCCTGGCCCTTAGGGCACCTTTGGGCCTTCTCCCTCTTTTGCATTTCCTAAGATCATACCAACTGATAAACATTTTAACATCGTCCTGACCCAGACATCGACCTAAGAGGTAAGCCTACAACAAAGCAAAAAAAGCCTCTGGTGACCAAAACCTAACAGGACCTAAGTTCTGGAGAACCCCACCACCATCCCCCTCCATCAACATGAATAAAGAGTTGAGTATAAAATTGCTACTGGCTAAAAAAGAGAAGGAAACCCACGTTTCCCAGATCACCCCAATAAAAACAAATCTGGCAGTTATTAGAATGAGAATTGGATGGGATTTTCCTAATTAAACTTCTCAAGGAAGTTTTGAAGGAGGAAAGACATGGTTAGCAGGAAGGAAGAAATAATACATACAATAGCTTGGAATTAAGTCACAAATCACACACAGGAAGCTGTAATGATACAAACTGGGACATGCAGACAGATGGATTATCAGGAACACTGATGGACTAACAGTAACACCAACTGGGGAAGGATTCTTGACGTTATTTATTAAGATTTAAGAGCTTGGATCTGTTTGAGGTACATGGGGGCCACTCAGTATTCAGTCATCATTTATTCAGTACTTACCAGTACTTACCATGTGCTGGGCATGGGGCCAAGTGCTTGAAGTATCCTGACTCATCCTCACAACAACCCTACCAGTTAGAGACTAGTATTCTCTTTTTGCAGATGAAGAAACAGATCCAAAATAAGTAATATGCTCAAGGATTCTATCCTGGGGAGCTCTGGCTGCTGGAAACTGGTGCTCCCCACCACTATGCTGAACTGACCAGGGAAGTCTGGGCATAAAAGCTGAAGATCTGAAGAAGATCTGTAATTCTGGAAAAGAATGCAGAACTGGCAGAGCTCAGGCAAGAAGGCACTGAAGGACTTGAAAGCTATTAGTCTTGGGGACTAAGGATAGAGAAGCTATTAACAAGAGTCTGAGAAAAGATGGGTAAATAAAAGAGTTATTTTTATTATTAGAAGCCACCGAAACCTCTAAGACAAACTAAGGTGAAGGTGCCGGGCACGATGGCTCATGCCTGTAATCCCAGCACTTTGGGAGGCCAAGACAGGAGGATGGCTTGAAGCTGGAAGTTTGAGACCAGCTTAGGCAACATGGCAAAACCCCATCTCTATAAAAATTGCTGGGTGTGGTGGCACATACTTGTTGTCCAATCTATTCCCAAAGCTGAGGTGGAAGGATTGCTTGAACCCAGGAGTTTGAGGCTGCAGTGAGCTGTGTTTATGCCACTGCACTCCAGCCTGGGACAGAGCAAGAACCTGTCAAAAAAAAAATGGCCAGGCGCAGTGGCTCACGCCTGTAATCCCAGCACTTTGGGAGGCCGAGGCGGGTGGATCACAAGGTCAAGAGATCGAGACCATCCTGGTCAACATGGTGAAACCCTGTCTCTACTAAAAATGCAAAAAATTAGCTGGGCATGGTGGTGCGTGCCTGTAATCCCAGCTACTCAGGAGGCTGAGGCAGGAGAATTGCCTGAACTCAGGAGGCGGAGGATGCGGTGAGCCGAGATCTCGCCATTGCACTCCAGCCTGGGTAACGAGCGAAACTCCGTCTCAAAAAAAAAAAAAAAAAAAAGGACAGCCTGGGCAACACAGGAAGACCCTCTCTCTACAAAAAAACGAACAAAAAAAAATGAGGTGGGAGGATTGTTGAACCTGGGAGCTCAAGGTTGCAATGAACCATGATCACGCCATTGCAATCCCACCTGGGTGACAGAGCGAGAACCTGCCTTAAAAAAAGGTGAAGGTTTGTGGGTCAACTGTCCACAGGTAACTGAAGCTGAGAAGACAGAACAGAGGGTCAGGATCTTAGAAAATGCTCAGAGTGAGATCAGAGCTGGGCTGAAAAAACTCAGGAAAATATCAGAGAGAAAGAAAACTTCTGGGATTGCAGAAGTCGGATAAAAGGAAGAGAGAGCCAAAGAGTCTGTGATGCTCTGTGCTTGGGCCAGGAGCGACCTGGGATGGCAGGCTTACCACATTAGCCTTTCCCTACTGTGGGCAGACCTGCTCTGGCCTCATGATCACAGCTTCCTTCTGTCAGCTCCTTCCCGCCACTCACCTTGATGGGTGTGAGGTGCTGGAAGTGACGGTGAGGGTGCGGGATGAGGCCCAGGGGGCAATCCCACTGGGAGGCAGAGTAAACTCGGATCTCGCTCTTCTGGTCCGTGGTCAGGAGCCGGGCTCCATCCGGACTGAAACAAGCTGGCAAAGTGAAAAGCCCCTGAGCTGAAGGAACCACGAGCCCCCCACGATCCTGGCCTGGCAGGCCTTCTCCTGCAGAGGTACCCTCCCTCCCACTCCGCTCAAGACAGGAGCGGAAGGGAAGAGGTGAACCTGGTCTGTGAACAATAAAAAATTCTGGAAACTCAGCAGCTGATGGGGACAGCCACACTCACAAAAATTCCCAGACAACAGTTTGGCAGATGCTGTTGGGGTAAAGGTTTGACGCAGTGGCTTCCACACTGAGGGAAAACCCTCAGAGAGGATCAGAGAGGCAGGGTCTGCAGGAGAGATGAGTTCTGGGATATCACACCTGCGTTGACAGGATGCCTGTGCGGCAGCGAGTAGAGGAAGCTGGCTTTCCCTCTAACCTGGCGCAGGTCCCAGATTTTCACTGTTTGATCTACGGAGGCTGTGGCCAGGAACCAATCACAGCATGGGTTCAGGGCCACATGCGTCACTTTCTTTTTGTGCATTCTGAGATTCCAAAGCTGCAGAGAAGAGCTCGGTTCAGGTGGGGACACAGAACCGAGGCAGGGGTGAGGGGGGAAAGGCAGGACATGGGAGAACCCACCTCTTTGCCGTCCATGTTCAGCAGGATCACATTCCCCACATTGTCTCCTGTGACCACCATTCGGCTATTGGCAGACACATCCAGGCTACAAAACCAGATGCTGCAGGGAGAGACTGGGTTGTAAGATTCTTGGGGACAGAGATAGGCCTATTTACTCACTGTTGCCGCTCCGGTGACTGCCCACAGCAGGCATTCAATAAATATTTGTTGAATGAATGAATAACTGTCTTGTGTGGATTCTCAGTGAGAAACATTCAGATTGCTCTACCATCCAGACAGAGGAAGTAGGGTAAGGGGGCTCAGAAATCTGTCTGGTTACTGCTGGGCCCAGGATCCCTGGCTCCTAAGAGTCCCTGAAGCAGACAAAGCTCAGACCATAAAGCAAGCCCCGAGGCACTGCCCCCCACACCCCAGGTTCTGAGTAAGCCTCCTTTATGGCTCTCTCCCTTCACTCTCCACCCTCCTTTGGACCAAAGGATACCACAAGCCAAACAGGGATTGCATGGCCCTGTTCTCAGAACTGGCTGGAAGGGCACTTCTGCCCCCTTCTGAACACAGAGGGAAAAAACACACAAAGCCAGAGCTCTTCGGGTTCCGCAAACCACCAGAAGGGGAGATTGGTTGGGAGGATGCTTCAGGGATCCTGCTATCCAGCCAAGAGAGCTTGGTTCAGTTTTTGTCTCAAACCTTCAAATCCATGCTATACTGCCTTTTACCATCCCCTATTAACATCTTCAAGCAGGAAGATTTCTTGTGGAAGAGTAACCTGGAGCCTGTCTATCCAATCACCTGCTGCACTGCGCATGCATTTCTCATCCCTGCAGACAGCCCAGGATCCATCCAATGCTAATTACACCCCAGCACCTTCACTTAATTCCTCATTAAGGAGTCAGACTCACTGCTCTAGCTGGAAATCAGAGTGACCAGCATTCTGTAATTTGTTTTTTTGTTTTTTGAGATGGAATTTTGCTCTTGTTGCCCAGGCTAAAGTGCAATGGTGCAATCTCAGCTCACTGCAACCTCTGCCTCCCAGGTTCAAGCTATTCTCTTGCCTTAGCCTCCTAAGTAGCTGGGATTACAGGCGCCCATCACCATGCCTGGCTAATTTTTTATATTTTTAGTAGAGATGGGGTTTCACTACCAGGCTGGTCTCAAACTCCTGATCTCAGGTGATCCACTCACCTTGGCCTCCCAAAGTGCTGGGATTACAGGCATGAGCCACCACACCCGGCCACATTCTGTAAATTCTCCAGCCACTTACTCTTGGGAAGGAAGTCCAGAGCACTTTATGGACAAGATTTCATCCATGTAAGCTTCCAGCCAGGAACAGGTCAGGTTATGACACCGCAGCAAGTGTGAGGAATTAAGTCTCAAGTTCTTAGCTGCTGCTCCATTCTCTAGGTGGCTGTCTAGGTCCACACCATGCTTGCTTATCTAGTGAGGGTCAAGGTCTAGTTTAATACACGTATGAGTTACAGAAGAGCTGAGGCTTCAGAACACCTACCCAAAGCAGCAAACCACCTGGACCAAAGTGAAAGCAGCCAAGGAGCAGTTTGAGAAAGAGAAAGCAGGGTGGAAAGTGGCTGACATCTTTCCTTTCTTCCCTGTGCCAGGCTGGGTTAAGGAAATGGAATCTGGATGCTCTTGTCGGAAAACTACACCTAAGCTTAGAAGCCCTTTCCCCTGCTAGTTAAACTACTCACTTGATGGTGTCTGAGCTGGCAAAAACTCGTAGAATGTTGCCTTTAAAGTCTTGCAGCCTAGTTGTTCCCTCCATTGAGGAGGCGTAAAACTGGTTGGTATTGAGAGGGTTAAACTTCAGCCCAGTGATGCTCCCTCCAGCTCCAATCTAACACGAGGAAGGAAAAAGCCAGTGAGTGATGATGGGCCTGGCTGTGAGGAAGCAGGCCTGAGCACACGTGCTGTGCTCCCACAGAAGCACCACTCAGCCTGCACTTGGGGCCAGGCCAGCTTAGACACCTGAACACTGGGACGCTCGCCACGGGCCCTTCACTTCTTTTCCTTTGAAATAGGGTCTTTCTGTGTCACTTAGGTGCAGTCTCTGAAGTGCAGTGGCACAAACACGGCTCGTTGCTGCCTGAACCTCCCGGGCTCAAGCAATCCTCCCACCCCAGCCTCCCAAGTAACAGCGACTACAGGTGTGCGCCACCATACTCAGCTAATTCTTGTATTTTTTTTTAAATGGGGTTTTGTCATGTTGCCCAGGCTGGTCTTGAACTCTTGAGCTCAAGTGATTTGCCCACCTTGGCCTACCTAAGTGCCAGGATTATAAGCGCTAATTTAAAAAAATGTTTCAGTAGACACAGGGTCTCATTGTGTTGCCCAGGCTGGTCTTGAACTCCTGCACTCAAGCGATCCTCCTGCCACAGCTTCCCAAAGTGCTAGGATTACAGACATGAGCCACTTCACCCAGTCCCTTCATTTCTTTTTTTCTTTTTTTTTTTTTTGAGATAGAGTCCCGCTCTGTTGCTCAGGCTGGTGTGCAGTGGCACAATCTCTGCTCACTGCAACCTCTGCCTACCGGATTCAAGCGATTCTCCTGCCTCAGCCTCCCGAGTAGCTGGGATTACAGGCACACGCCACCACGCCTGGCTAATTTTTGTATTTTTAGTAGAGACGGGGTTTCACCACATTGGCTAGGCTGGTCCTGAACTCCTGACCTCAGGTGATCCACTTGCCTTGACCTCTCAAAGTGCTGGGATTATAGGCGTGAGCCACCATGCCTGGCCTCCCTTTGTTTCTTAAGGCTTTATTTTTACTTTATAAAATTAACATACAGCAAATTTGGGGTATACAGTTCTCTGAATTTTAACACAAGTATAGATTTAAATAACCACCACCCAAATCAGGATGCAGAACAGTTGCTATACCCCTAAAACTCCCTCGTGCTATCCCACTGCAATCATACCCTCCCCTTACCCCCAGCCCCTGGCCACCACTGATCTGTTCTCTATCACTATTGTTTTGCCCTCATAGAATGTCCTATAGACTGCGTGCAGTGGCTCATGCCTGTAATCCCAGCACCTAGGAAGCTGAGGTGGGGGGACTGCTTGAGGCGAATTCAAGACCAGCCTGAGCAATATAGGGAGACCCCATCTCTACAAACAAACAAACAAACAAAAAATTTAGGCATAGTGGTAGGTGCCTGTAGTTCTAGCTACTCAGAAGGCTGAGGTGGAAGGATGACTTAAGTCTGGGAGGTCAAGGCTGCAGTAAGTGGTGATCAGATCACTGCACTCTAGCCTGGGTGACAGAGCAAGCAAAACCCTGTCTCTAAAAATTAAATTAAAAGGCCAGGCGCGGTGGCTCACGCCTATAACCCCAGCATTTTGGGAGGCCGAGGTGGGTGGATCATGAGGTCAAGAGATCAAGACCATCCTGGTCAACAAGGTGAAACCCCGTCTCTACTAAAAATACAAAAATTAGCTGGGCATGGTGGTGCATGCCTGTAATCCCAGCTACTCAGGAGGCTGAGGCAGGAGAATTGCCTGAACCCAGGAGGCGGAGGTTGCGGTGAGCCGAGATCGTGCCATTGCACTCCAGTCTGGGTAACAACAGCGAAACTCCGTCTCAAAAAAAAAAAAAAATTAAATTAAAAATAGAATGTCATGTAAATGAATTATACAGTATGCAGACTTTTGAGACCATCTTGTTGCATTTCACTCATCATGCCTCTGAGATTCATCCAAGTTGCCGTATTGATAGCTCATCTCACTTTATTGCTGAAGTATTCCATTGTATGGATGTGCCCTAATTTGTCATTACAACAGTGCTCTCTTTAAGAGGTTCAGCTCAGAGCAGTGGTTGGGTTAGGAGGGCAGGAGTCAGATCTATGCCCCTTCCTATTTTTCCAAGTATTAAAGAAAACGATGATATAAATAAACATGGTAATATCAATGGCTTAACTTTATTAAGTGCTTATTATGTATCAGGCACTGGTTTTTTTGGGGAATTTTCTTTGTGTATGTGTTTTTTTTTTTTTTTAAGATGGAGTCTGCGCCCAGGCTGGAGTCCAGTGGCTCAATCTCAGCTCACTGCAGCCTCTACCTCCTGGGTTCAAGCAATCCTCCTGCCTCCACCTCCTAAGTAGCTGGGATTACCTGCCCTCACCATCACATTCAGCTAATTTTTGTATTTTTAGTAAAGACAGGTTTCACCATGTTGGTCAGGCCGGTCCTGAACTCCTGACCTCAAGTGATCTGCCCACCTTGGCCTCCCAAAGTGCTGGGATTACAGGCCTGAGCCACCATGCCTGGTCAGGCACTGTTTTAAGAACCTTACATCCGAACAATCCAAGATGGCCGATAGCTAACATCCCGGGATTGCAGCTCTCAGGGAAGGCGCGGAGAACTAGAGGACGCCACACTTTCAGACAAAGTCTGGTCGCTCACGGAGCAGAAGATCCCCCAGTGGTGGCAACACACGAGTCGCCAGCACGACTCTCGTGGTCGGCGCAGCGGTTCCGCCGGCACCTCGACGCGGCAGCTCTCGGAGCAGAGTAAACGGGACCGGTTCCCCTTCTGACCGAGGTTTGGAGCCCCGGGAAGGCAGAGTCGCCTACTATGGAAACAAGAAGGAAGCCCGACAGGAGAATCCTGGGCAGAAAAGCACCATCAGTTTTAACGCCGCTGCTCTGGCCCTGGGAACTAACAACCTGGACGTCCACTCAAGAGACCTAATCTGAAAGTTGGTCATTTCAAAGACGACAGGAGGATAAATTTACAATGACGGGAAGAAACCAGCATAAAAAAGCTGAGAATACTCAAAATCAGAACGCCTCTCCCTCTAAAGATGATCACAGTTCCACATCAACAATGGAACAAGGCTTGATGGAGAAAAAGCGCCTCCTGATGACAGAATCACTCTTCAAGGAATGGATAATAACAAACTTCGGTGAGTTAAAAGACCATGTTGTAGCCCAACGTAAAGAAACTAGGAACTTTGAAAAAAGGTTTGATGAAATCCTATTGAGAATAGACAACTTAGAGAGGAGTATGAGTGAATTAATGGAACTGAAGAATACAATACAGGAACTCCGAGAAGTATGCACAGGTTTAAACACTCGAATTGTTCAAGCAGAAGAAGGGATATCAGAGGTCAAAGTCCAACTTAATGAAATAAAACGTGAAGAAAAGATTAGAGAAAAAAGGATAAAAAGGAATGAGCAAAGTCTCCAAGAAATGTGGGACTATGTGAAAAGACCAAATTTACGTTTGATAGGGTACCTGAATGCGACGGAGAGAATGAATCCAAGCTGGAAAATACCCTTCAGGATATTATTCAGGAAAATTTTCCTAAACTAGCAAAGCAGGTCAACATTCAACCCCAGGTAATACAGAGAACACCACAAAGATATTCCTCAAGAAGAGCAACCCCAAGGCACATAATCGTTAGATTCACCAGGGTTGAAACGAAGGAGAGGATACTAAGGGCAGCCAGAGAGAAAGGTCAGATTAACCACAAAGGCAAGCTTATCAGACTCACAGCAGATCTCTCGGCAGAAACTCTACAGGCCAGAAGAGAGTGGGGGCCAATATTCAACATCCTCAAAGAACAGAACCTTCAGCCCAGAATTTCATATCCTGCCAAACTAAGCTTCACAACTGAAGGAAAAATAAAATCTTTTATGAACAAGCAAGAACTCAGAGATTTTATTACCACCAGGCCTGCTTTACAAGAGCTTCTGAAAGAAGCATTACACACAGAAAGAAACAACCAGTATTAGCCTTTCTAAAAATACACCAAAAAGTAAAGAGCACCAACATAAAGAAGAATTTACACCAACAAATGGATAAAACAGCCAGTCAACATCAAATGGCAGTAACCCTAAATTTAAATTGACTGAATTCCCAATCAAAAGACACAGCCAAAACCCAATGGCATGTTACATCCAGACCTGTTTCACATGCAAGGATACACAAAGACTCAAAACAAAGGGATGGAAAAAGATTTATCAACCAAATGGAGAGCAAAAATAAATAATAAATAAATAAAAAGCAGGAGTTGCAATTCTTGTATCGGATAAAATAGATTTTAAAGCAACAAAGATATAGTGGTAAAAGGATCAATGCAACAACAAGAGCTAACGATCCTAACACCCAGATACATAGAGACTTAGATTCAATGAGACAGAAAATTAATAAGGATATCAAGGACTCGAACTCAAATCCGGAACAAGTAAACTTAATAAATATTTATAGAGCTCTCCACTTCAAATACACAAAATATACATTCTTGTCAATACCACATCACACCTACCCATTAGTTTAAATGAAACATTGATTGGCCATTTTTAATACCCAATTTTTTTCAAAATAAAGCAATATTTCCATTTACTCTCCCTCTTTCTCTTCCTCTTTCTTCCTCTCCTTTACTTATTATTTTTTTTTTCTTTCTTTCTCTCAAAAAAAAAAGAAATCAACTTGTAAACCTCTAGATCCAGGTCGGCAATGTCTCTCTCATTGCTTGATTTCCTTTCTTCCCTTCCCTCCCTCCCCGCTTCCTCCCTTCCTTCCTCCCTTCATCCCTTCCTTCCTCCCTACCGTCCTTATTCCCTTCCTTCCTGCCTTCCTCCCCCCCCAAAAAAAAAAAAAAAAGAACCTTACATCCCCAAGAGGTAAAGTTCTCCACTTCTCCACCTTTCTCCGCCTCCTCCACCTCTTCCTTATGCTGCAGCTATCCCAGCCTCATAGACCTGTACAAGGGCTTCTATACAACAACCACATAGCTATTCCAACATACTAACTGGCGGTTCCCTTCCCTCTATAAAACATTCTAACCTCATGGTCATTCTTGTCATTTTTTTTTTTTTTTTTTGACACGGAGTCT